TTAGGTAGTTAGCTCATGTATCTTATTAAAAGGTTGAATATCAACATTAAGGATCCCCTACCACCTCATCCTTGGAGTATTGTGAGAGAGGTTGATTGCGAGATATGTCCCAACAGGTCAGGGAACAAAAGCTGTCTGTATACTAATGTCTACAAAGAGAGCTCATGTATTGACTTGAAGTTCCAATATTTTGTACTTGAGATTTTGAAAAAAAACTACTTTTNTACTAATGTCTACAAAGAGAGCTCATGTATTGACTTGAAGTTCCAATATTTTGTACTTGAGATTTTGAAAAAAAACTACTTTTCAATAGATGCTCAAATTCAAGTTGGCTCTAGAAATTATTGGAATGTAATTATTTAGAATATTTTCAAAAAATTCTCTATTTATAAGAGCATCTTATGTATAATGACGATGATTTTTAATTTTTTTTTTAATTTAGAGAGTATTTTTTTATGCAAAGTATTGCTCTCTATTTTGGCTCTTTATTTTGCTTTTTTTAAAAAATATTTATTGTTTTTTCATTATTTTCTATTTCGCATATTTTTTTTAGATGTCAATGACCAATCAATTCAAATATTGTTTGAATAATTTAAGTAGGGTATCGATATAATAAGAATAGAGAATGTGTTTGATTTTCTAAAATTGGAGACTGAACTCATTCTATATGTTACGGAATTAAAATATATTGTCTCTTGAAACTAATATTTAAGCATTGAATATCTTTTGGATATACCAAAAGCATTTAATCTTCATGTCAGCCGGTCAACTCATGCTTCCATTCAAACCTCCCTCAAAACTTAGTACTTTCCCATCCTCCCCTCTCCGTACCTCAGTTCAGTAACTTTTATGCCCTCTATAATTTTTCACCTCCTCATTTACGAAGAAATCGCGTTTGTGTTCTTCTCAAATCACCAATTTAATGCTATTCCAAAAATCACCACCCCAAATTTAATGTTCGCGGTAGGTTAGGTGCAAGCTTAATATCAACTATGAGGACGGTGAGGAGCTCATCATTCTCTACTATAAAGTCAACAAGGAGATATTCAAGGAGGACATGAGAAGTGACGGAGCTAGTATTTTAAGTTTGGGGTCTGGTTAAAAAAGTTGATGGAATTACGTAAAAATGACAAACTAGCCAAATAATACTAAAGATTGAAAAATGAAAAGTCCAAAATTAATGATTGATATGTATTTGCTAGCAATATGAAATGTCAAGACTAATTGTGCAAATGGTTTACGCAAAAAAGGAGAAAAATTAATATTATGACAACAACTAGATCGAACTCAGATTGTTTGATCCACAAAGTAAAACTTTTAAACACTAGATCACACTTTTTCTTATATATATATATATATATCCACAAACTATCTAGATTTTTTTTTCTTTTTTTAAATGCTATAAGAGCGATCGCTCCACTCTACCTCGTGCCTCCACCCTTGGGCATGAGCAAGATAGTTCAACCGCTAGTCATGCAAGGTTGTTGTTTAAAATCCACATTTTGTCTCTGTTTGGTTTAGCGTAAAAATATAGATAAATTTAAGTCAACAATTAATTTTAACTAGAGAAGCAGGGTCGGTCTTGAAAATTTTGAGACCATAAGTGACAAATTATTATGATGCCTTTAAATTTTGTACATATTCGATCTCCACCAACAATTGGCCTTCTTTTCTGTTGCATAAATACACACCCTTCTCTTTAGCATTGTAAAATGAAAATTATGATTTTTCATGAACCTAAATTATTTGTCGATAGCCATGATGATTTTCTCCCTTCCCAAATTCTTAACAAAATTTAGAGTAATCAATCTCTATCCATCTATAGTACTAGTCCTCTACTGCCTCTACTAATAAGTTATAGTATGCATAAGAATAAGAATCTTAGTCCAGCAAACAAAAATCAAAATGTCCCTTTTTCCTTTGCCAAATGGTAAGAAGATGTTGAAGGGGTAAAAGAATCATCAATAATTTCATTAGAGATTTTAATTTTGGCCATTTAGGTGAGCAACGCTACACAATTTTGCTTCAACTTTGTAAATCCATAGATTCTGGAGCGAGTACGTAGAAATTACAATATTACAAACCAATTTGTACCAGATTAACTATGCCAAAATGGGATTTACCTTTAATCTTTAGCCAACATTGTAAGAACAAGTAATGTACTTTCACATGATTCAAACTTAGAAAAGGAAATAAAAAAAATGAACCAAAGTAGATTGTAGAAAATAAGCTTCTTACTTATATGACTATTGTATCCCATATGAAAGAGCAATTCAGCTTCATAAACGCAATGGTTGTTTCTGAACTTTTCAATTCCATCAAAATGTTAAACTCTTAGACTTAGAACTTGGTTGAGTAGTCACTTCGAACTGGAAGGAATAGGTATGGAATTTTAATAATTTAAATGAATTCTTTTCTTCTTTCTTGCCCTTGTTCTTCTCTGGTGACAGTCCTCCTTCTTGGGCTCCTTCAGTGGCGATGGTCCTATGGAATTTATTATTTGAATTTAGTAAATCAAAGTTTCACATTCTTTTCCAATCTTTAACTAACCTAAAAAAACGATGTTATTTAAGACATTAGGGTGGGTTTTTTAAGTGTTAGGCCCTCGGCCATTGCCTAGTATGTCTTGGGCTAGAATCGAGTCTGTAGAGACGGAGTTAAGATCGGACTAATTATTTATTTATTTTTTATTTTTTAACTTGGCTAATTTGTAATAAAAAACATAACACTGAAAAAATTTAAAAGAAAAAAATAAAATGGGTAGGGATCGCCCCTAATTTTAACAATATGAGATCCTAATCTTTTAACTACATATTTTATTAACTTTTATTAAAATCTATTAAAAATCTTCTTTTAGCTAAAAAAAATAGGAGCTTTATCTCCCAAATTTTGAAAATTCGATAATAAATTCTTTGCCTTTTGCACCTTTCTCGTCTAACTAATCCGTTTTTTGTTAGAAAAATAAAAATCCCATTTCCAGCATCTAGAAGAGACCCATGTTTAGATAAAATCACATTTCTTTATTCTTATTTGAGTTTGAGTCTTATTTTTTTTTGGTAAATATAAATTTCGTAATAGTAATTTTTTTAGATAATACGTGGCTAAAAAATTAATTTTTTTTGAATTTACGTGTAAAATTATTTTATTAAAGGGATACATAGTTGAATATGAATTTTTGATTTTTTTGAGTTTTATTTTTTTAAGAAGGAATTTCAAACCGTGCTTAATGTGCTCATTTTGCCCCCATTTGGTCTCCATTATTTAGGGTAATTTACATGTAAAATTATTTTATTAGAAGGATACGTAGTTGACTATGAATTTTTGATTTTATTTATTTATTTTTTAAGAAGGAATCTCAAACCATGTTTAATGTGCTCATTTTACCCTTGTTTGGTCTCCATTATTTAGGGTTATAATTTTGGGAATAATATTTTTTTCAGAGAATGTGCGGTTGAAAAAGAATAAAAAATTTTCAATTTATATGTAATATTATTTTATAAAAATTATGTAATTAAAAATAAAAAAGAGAAAAATTATAATGTCAAATAATGGTGATCAAACAGGGGCTTTATTTTATTTAGAGGAGTTTTATTTTCAAACAATTTACTAATAATAAATATATATATTTTGAAAAAGTAAGTTAAACCAATAGTGGGCTAATTTGTAATAAAAAACATAACACTGAAAAAATTTAAAAGAAAAAAATAAAATGGGTAGGGATCGCCCCTAATTTTAACAATATGAGATCCTAATCTTTTAACTACATATTTTATTAACTTTTATTAAAATCTATTAAAAATCTTCTTTTAGCTAAAAAAAATAGGAGCTTTATCTCCCAAATTTTGAAAATTCGATAATAAATTCTTTGCCTGTTGCACCTTTCTCGTCTAACTAATCCCCCTTTTTTTAGAAAAGTAAAAATCCCATTTCCAGCATCTAGAAGAGACCCATGTTTAGATAAAATCACATTTCTTTATTCTTATTTGAGTTTGAGTCTTATTTTTTTTTGGTAAATATAAATTTCGTAATAGTGATTTTTTAGATAATACGTGGCTAAAAAATTAATTTTTTTTGAATTTACGTGTAAAATTATTTTATTAAAGGGATACATAGTTGAATATGAATTTTTGATTTTTTTGAGTTTTATTTTTTTAAGAAGGAATTTCAAACCGTGCTTAATGTGCTCATTTTGCCCCCGTTTGGTCTCCATTATTTAGGGTAATTTACATGTAAAATTATTTTATTAGAAGGATACGTAGTTGACTATGAATTTTTGATTTTATTTATTTATTTTTTAAGAAGGAATCTCAAACCATGTTTAATGTGCTCATTTTACCCTTGTTTGGTCTCCATTATTTAGGGTTATAATTTTGGGAATAATATTTTTTTCAGAGAATGTGCGGTTGAAAAAGAATAAAAAATTTTCAATTTATATGTAATATTATTTTATAAAAATTATGTAATTAAAAATAAAAAAGAGAAAAATTATAATGTCAAATAATGGTGATCAAACAGGGGCTTTATTTTATTTAGAGGAGTTTTATTTTCAAAAAATTTACTAATAATAAATATATATATTTTGAAAAAGTAAGTTAAACCAATAGTGGGCCCATGTCATTGTGTGCATGATGTCAACGTGTCTCATTGCACGCCACGTAAGATTTTAATCCAACATTTGGAATTCTTCCGACCGTTGAAAGGAAAATATCTTGGAGTCCTTTTCCGTCTGCTCCTGCAATCCGGCTAGGGGCTTTTTCGTAAAATGATGGCCCACTGTACTCCACCCAATTTACAAAAGTACCCTCATTTTGGCTGCACAGTTTCATCATGCAACCTCTTAAATTTGACTGTAAATTAAATAAGTAGTTAGGGCTAATATTGTATTTATAACTCCCCATCGATATGATATGGACGTGTCACTCTCTCAACCCCCAATTTACAATTTCCCGCTTTTCGTACAAAAAATGAAAATAAAAATATAAAAGTCTCAGCTGAATTTCGTATGAAGAACAGCACTCCACCGTTGTTATCCAGTTTAGAGAGAGAAACACCACTCTCTAGTGAGAGAAAATTGAAGCGATTCAGATTCTTCCAAGTATAAATTTTCTTTTTGTAGAGCTGGAGTAAATCAATTATAGAGCGCTGGTTCCGAATTTCCGGTGACAATGGCAATCGGCGCCGTCGTTTCGCACCGGAATTTCGGATCTTTCATCGATTCCGGTAAATATATACCAATTATTATGATGCTATTCACTTGATTTACTGGGCGTGTGGTTGTGTGAATTGTTTATATTGTACATGTCGGGGCGGAGCATGCATGTAATTGTAAATTTTGGTGATCTAGATCAGAAATTGGATGTTATTGTACAAGAAGTTGAGCCTCTGTTTTTGTATCTGATTATAAGCAGTTGAAAGTAATTTTATAATTTTTATAAATTTGGCACATTAAATGTCTACAGCATTTCTTCTACACTCTCTGAAGTAAAAAATTAGTGCTGATATCGTTAGGTAATGCAAAAGTTTTCTGTATTTTTTTATCGGTGGTTTTTTTTCTTGAAGGCCTGTGATGTTTTTTGGGAAGCAATTTGAAGTTAACATTTAGCACTGCAGTATAAGGTTTCAGAGTTAATACATGACTCCCCACCTTGCATAATTATTACTTGTGGACTGCTCTGGTTGTCTAAATTTTTTCATATCTTAGTATGCACATTAAGAAATGTCTTTGGGTAAGTTGGTTAAATATTCTTTTCCCCATTTCTCTTTCAATAATGTAAACATGTTTTGAAAAAAATATTTTTGTTGTGGTCATGACTTTTGTTCCTCATTTTGTGTACTTTTGGGTCTGTTCAAGATTGAAGCTGGTAAGCTACAAGGTTTTGGGCAATTTTCTTTTAGATTATATGTAAATTTAGGTTGATAATGCAAGAATTTAAATGCAGATTATCAGTAATTTCCAGAATCGGAAAGGAAAAAAAAAGAAAAGAAAAGAAAAGAAATTCTCTTGTTTTTTAGTAACTTTAAAGGAACTTGGTTACATTTGCTTAAGAGAAATTCAGAATTATGGTTATAAAAAAAATATGCATGTAAATTCATCCCTAGTGCTGTATGATGATCTGATCGATTCCTTGACCAATGCTACAACTAAATTGGAGTGCACACTTTTCCGTGTGCTTGCTTTTCCCGGTGCAAACTTTTTTCCATCAAAGATTAGAGATTCTTATGTTAACAGGAAGAGTACGTCGTGGAGAATCAGCTACAACAAATCAAAGAGGAGAGCCCTTGGGTGTTTCTGCTGTACAATGTGTAAATAGGAAATTCTTTTGCAACAAGCTATATCTTCCAAGGGGATTGTGTGGATACACATATTACTCATCTCTTCACACTAGTGGTCGGTCAAACAGTAAATGTTTGAGATCAAAATCGCCGTCTCATGTTGAAGCTTTCCTCTCAGTGTCCCAGTTACTGAATGAGAACTTCATCTTCATCAATCGTAGACAAAGAATGAGAGGAATATGTCAATGCAGCCTTTTTGAAGCGTGCTTCAATGACAATAGTATACATCCAAGGAAGTTAGATAACCTTGGCTTCATTGATAGGCACGTCCTTTCCTCCAAGCATACAATAGTTACAAGGACCAGAGCTGACTTCAAATCTGAAGAGCATGACATAACAGGAACTGAGTTGGAGTCGGTTGGATCATCTGAGATGGCAAGCGAAGCTGCTTTACATGAAGGAAATGAGCAATCACAACCTTGGTGGAAGCAGTTCCCAAAACGATGGGTGATAGTGATGCTATGTTTTGCTTCATTTCTGTTGTGCAATATGGACCGTGTAAGTTTACTTTTGCTTATCAATATTGATGTGTTTCTATGAAGATTTCATACTTTAATTTATATATTCCTCGTCTGATATAGTACTTTAAATTCAGCAGCTTTCACTTGCCAGTTGCTCATTACAGCTTGAATAAAATTGCAACAAAACCATTTCCATTGGTTCTAATTTTTCCATATCTATGCTTGTAGGTGAACATGAGTATAGCAATACTTCCAATGTCGAAGGAATTCAACTGGAATAGTGCTACTGTTGGTCTAATTCAGTCTTCATTCTTCTGGGGTTATCTACTAACACAGGTTTTACTATAGTACTTTAAATTCAGCAGCTTTCACTTGCCAGTTGCTCATTACAGCTTGAATAAAATTGCAACAAAACCATTTCCATTGGTTCTAATTTTTCCATATCTATGCTTGTAGGTGAACATGAGTATAGCAATACTTCCAATGTCGAAGGAATTCAACTGGAATAGTGCTACTGTTGGTCTAATTCAGTCTTCATTCTTCTGGGGTTATCTACTAACACAGGTTTTACACATTATATTGCAGCATTTGAAAAGGAATAATTATTTTCCCATCTTACGCAACCTTTTACAAAGCATCTGGCAGTAAAATCTTTTATCTAATGCTAATTGTTTAATGGACAGAAAAATCATAGTTGTTACGAAGCATGTAGCTTCTGTTCAACTCTATCCTTTATTGCTTTTGTATGAATTCCGATTTAATCTCCAATGTTATAGTTGTGGTGGATATATTTACTATTTGAGAGAACTTCGGAATTTATACTGGTACAAGTACCATCCAAAAATATCTTTAAATGGTGACTCCTAAAATTTAAGGGAATGAAAACTTATATGACAGGGGCATACATTTCATAGACCAACGGGAGCACATATTGTCAAGCAATGCAATCCCAGTAACATATCGATAAAGGCAGAGGGCAGACCAAAGTAGCTTTGTGTCTTTCATAATCGCAAGCAGCCCTCAGTATTATAATTCTCATTTTTTTTTTTTTTTGTTACACTCTTCACCTGGATTAACCTGTTAGCTTTGTCATGTCTGCGTGCATCTGATTTATCTGCTTTTTGTAATTACAAGTTGACTTAGTTGTCAGTTGAGTCACATTACAACGATACATCTTGTACTAAGTTTACTTGTGGTTTTCTGTCAAGTAGATTGTTGGAGGCATATGGGCAGACAAATTTGGTGGGAAGCTAGTACTTGGTTTTGGAGTTGTTTGGTGGTCCATTGCAACAGTTTTGACGCCTATTGCAGCCAGAATTGGGCTTCCGTTCTTACTTGTAATGCGTGCCTTTATGGGCATAGGCGAGGTTGGCTGTGTTTATGCTTCTCTATGGTTTTACTGAAGATTCTCTACTTAAGTTTGGTATTCTTTGTGAGCACGGAATGGAGTTCTTATTTGTACTTAATTCCATTTTTGAAAGCATTATTGAACTTTCAATAAAGAAGTCTTAGAGGATATTATTTCATTGCTAAGTGTCTATAACTTCATTACAGTGATTTCACTATTGTATATTTTTTTTCTTCTTAAGGCTCTGATTAAATTCCCAGTATTTCAGTATATCAGTCTGATTGACATCATGCCTGATTGCGACATGAAACTGTCCTGCACATATCTTATTGTTGAGTCTTGGACTACTTCAGCTATCGCTCTTGTAGTATATCAAGTACAAATATTGTCTGATTGAAATGTGATTCTTGCTAAGCGCATTTTACTTGCGCAGCATAGTACCTATATTTTTGAGTTGTTATTGTTACAATTTTATGAACAGATTTTCAATTTCAAACTGTAAATTCCTCATTTTAGGTGCCGTGTTTAATATTACGATGCAAGTATATAAGCGTCGTTGTGTGAGTGCATGGTTTTTATTCTAATGAGGTTTATTTTGTAATTAGGGAGTTGCTATGCCTGCAATGAATAATATGTTATCTAAATGGATTCCTGTCTCCGAGAGAAGCAGATCACTTGCTCTAGTATACAGTGGTATGTATCTTGGTTCAGTGACTGGTTTGGCTGTATCTCCTGTATTGATCCACAAATTTGGGTGGTCTTCTGTGTTCTATGCTTTTGGTTCCCTTGGAAGCATCTGGTTTGCGCTGTGGTTGAAGAATGTGAGTGCCTTCTTTTGTTTGTGAGTTTACATGATAAGAAGCATTTCTGTTTCCAAAACCAGAAAAGTAGGTTTTTTATCATATTTTTCTGCTATACTAAATGACCATCTCATTAAAATTCTTGAGCTAATATTAGGGAGCCGGAGGGGGGGGGGGGGTTAATGTATTCAGCACATTCTCTAGCATGTGCTCCCAATCATTCTAAATGGTTCGAGCACGCAAAATCATTGAACGGTTGGCAGAACCTGTGAATAATCCGGATATAATTCTTCTCTCCTTAAAGTTGAACACAGTTTGAAGTCTATATGTTCATATAGGAATTGGAAGTGTAACAAAGTTCTTTTGAAATCCTAAATTTTTATACTTGTAGGCACACAGTTCACCAGAAGAAGATCCAAAACTCAGTGCCGAGGAAAAGAAACTGATATTGGGAGGCAGCATACGGAAGGAACCAGTCTCTGAAATTCCATGGAAAATAATTTTATCCAAGGCACCTGTCTGGGCTCTCATCATCACCCATTTCTGTCATAATTGGGGTACATTTATTCTATTAACGTGGATGCCTACTTACTATAACCAGGTATGCTGAGCTTTTGAATGATCTGCAACTGGTAGAGATAGTCCGTTTTGGTGAATTTTTTTGTCCACCTCGATATTATAACACTGGCAGTCTAAATATGCTGACGTAAATAATCTCTAACTAGCATCATTAATGTGCTTGTGGGTGGGACATACATTTTTTGTTATTGTCCATTAAGACTAACTACGAGATATTCAATTCCTTCTGGTAAATTTCTCCCTATTAACTTATGAGTCAATTACCCATTGCATACCCAATGGCGACTGTGTCGATGACGTCGAGCTTTCAGTACAATTAAAGAGCAAACATGTCAACAAGGGAGTGCATTATATGACTACTTTAGCAAAGTGAGAGGTTCCATAAAATGATCTACGGACCGTTCTTTCTTGCTTTCCTAAATTTTATATCAATATGTACATTCTGGACTTCAGGATTCGAATCAAGAAGTTATTTTTTGTTACCTTTCTACATAACTACCATGGAGTTTCCATTTATCAAATTTGAGTACAAAATCATTTTATAAACAGTTCCCTCATTTATATGCCGTATGCTAATGCATATGTCGATCAACTTCTCCAGCATCTTCACTTGTTATCTCTTCTAGGGGTATCCATTGGACTAGTTTTTCTAGTAGAGCTTCAAAGTCCAAATTACGTGATGTATCAAGAGACATAATGGTGGAATGTTCCAGTGGATGCAATTCTGGATTCAAAAACTAAGCTAATCAAACAAGAAAACTAATTATTTTTCATTTTATTGTGATGGTTAGGTGTTGAAGTTCAACCTCACTGAATCCGGACTACTCTGTGTGCTTCCATGGTTTACCATGGCCGTGTTTGCTAATATAGGTGGTTGGATTGCAGACACCCTTGTCAGCAAAGGTCTTTCAATTACATCAGTTCGTAAGGCAAGCATTTAACTTTTCTAGAATTTTTGAATTAGCAAGCCGGCATTTAATGGTTTTAACTCGTGCTGTCAATATATTCACTAGCCTCTGCCCTATTGATCGTTTAGGCCCTGCATTCTTTCTAACACAGCTTAAGCATGTGAAAACACCTGCTTTAGCTGTGCTATGCATGGCATGCAGTCAGGTACATGCAGTTTTGGTAACACATAATTTGATTATTATTTTTGAATCGCATAACTAATATAAGTTGTGTTCTACCAAAGGGATCGGATGCATTTTCACAGTCTGGACTGTACTCCAATCACCAAGATATTGGGCCTCGTTATGCTGTGAGTTATTTCTCATCTGTCCATGCTAGAAAATACGGAACTGTTTCGGCTTTATTCTCCAAAAATACATTATTCTCTTTCTTATTTCAATCTCATATTCTTCAGTAAAATGATATTATACGTAAACCCAAATTTTTTATTATTTTTTAACCACACATTCTCCAAAATATTACTATTCGAAAATGCATTTTTTTCCAAAATTCATTTTTAATGGAGCCCAAACAAGGGCTATGTCTATAATATCCAGAATTTCCGCCCCGGTTTCAATCTGTATCCATCTCAGCAGAAAAGAGATCTCATACTTTATTTAAAGAGTTAAACTTACAAGACACAGTTGAATTTTCCTCTATCTGAAAATATAAGTTACGATCTTTGGACCCTAATTTGTCTTTTACCTACCATGTCAATTTGGGTTTCAAAAATTGTATAGCTAGGGATTTTCGAGATTTTTCAATTTTTGGTAGTCTCTTCCATTATGTAGCCGACTGTTTCCCACTTATCATGCTTGAAGCAGCATACTGCATTTTCTTTTCACCCTTCTAACTTGAAAAAAATGCATATATATCGCAGGGAGTACTGTTGGGGTTATCCAATACAGCTGGTGTGCTGGCTGGCGTATTTGGTACCGCTGCCACTGGATACATACTCCAAAAGGGTACAATCAAACCACGTACTTCATTTTTGTGCATTCTTGTTTTCTGCATTGTAATCAAAAGTGACTCCTGTTTCTCAATTCTATTGATTCTTGAAATATATTTTTTCAGGTTCATGGGATGACGTGTTCAAAGTGGCTGTTGTACTGTACATCATAGGCACATTGGTGTGGAACTTCTTCTCCACAGGAGAGAAAATTCTGGACTAGATTTCCATGAAACTATAGGAAGATCTGCTAGATAGCTACAGAGATACAGCAAAAAGATGATGAGGTACGTAATAACAATGGTCAATTAATAACTACGGGAACCAAAAGGAGGACCCGAGTAAATAAGAATCGAATGCGAACATTTTCGTACTTCTATACCATGTTGAATCACCTCGACTGCTGCTTTTGATGACTTTCAGATGGGGTTCCCTCAGGTTGCTTCGATGCTTCCTACTAAGTTTAGGCGGGGTAGTTAAATCTATTAAATTTTAAAAAAAGAATGTTCCTACTAGTATTTTCTTTAACTCATGAGGTGCCTCACTGCTTGAACTATCAACAAAACTCGAGTGGACCTCGACATTTTACACTGCAGAGAATATGATTTCAGCTTTCCTTGCAATTTTTTTTTTTTTTTTTTTTTATTGTGATTCAATATCTATATATATGAATTGGGGTGTAATTGCCTTTTGGCTGTCTTCTCGGGTGAGCCAGGTACACGAAAATTGCAGACTATGCCGGCCCTTGGCCTAGGGGACCCGCACGGTCCTTTTTACATCTCTAGATACAATAGATTGGAGGTTGCTAATGTCAATTAATAGGTCTTGGATTTGTAGTGTCCTTTGCAAGTAAGAAATAATTGAAATGCTTAGAGAAAAATAAATAGGTAATCCAAATAAAATTACAATTTCCAGTAGGTGATTCTATTAGTAGCTGGCAAACAATTATGTAGTTGCAAAGTAGTTCAGTAGTTCAGTACTATTACCAAATCATAAATACAGTCTGCCTATAAGATATGACTAGTCAATACAACAATAATAAACAATTATATGAATTTTTCTGCCACTCCATCATAACGTGAAGATTTAGCCCAGTTTTGGTTTAGTTAAAAAAAATTAGATTTTTAGTAAATTTTGATAGAAGTTAATGAAATAGTGTGGTTGATGACCAAAGTTGCGGGTGCATGAAGTCTTCGGTATCAATATTTTTAGATTAATCAAATAGAGATTTAATGCAATTAGATAGCAACAATAATGCATCATTATAAGTTAGTTTATATCACTTTCTATCGATCATTATAGAAAGATTTAATTACTCTCATAGCACAATATGTCATCACGATATATTAGTTTTATTTACTCTCTCTTATAACAGCTACGTTTGCTTGGCGAGTTGCATGTACTCATTTGGAGCGAGTTGGATAGACAATGAGCATCCCAAGCAATTTCTTTTCTACACTAGGGGTCGGTTTGATAACATTAAATTTCATGTAAAATGTCACATTCGAGGAATTCGTTTTCTGCTTTGACTGTTTGATACGAAAGTGAAAATGAAATTTGAATTTCAAAGTACAAAAACTTAAAGCATGTTTCTGGTCAATTGAGTGGAAATCGAATTTTTATGATTTTGGTGAGTTTTTGTTTTTCAACATACATGGAATTTGTTTGCCTTTTTCACCTATACAATTCAATCAAATGGACCCTAAAATGTTGTAGCGAATTAATGAACAAATTATTTAAATTAAGCACTAATATATAAGAAATACAAAGAATTCATATATCATCACTAAAATATAACAAACAAAAATTACTTAAAAGAATATGTGACAAGAGGAAAACAATAGGCATTGACTTCACAA